TTAGCAACCAGTATCACGTGGTAAGTTTTGCGCTTTTTATTTTGCCTGAGGGGGGGGGGGAACGACCTCTAGGCTGCGTTTAGAAGCTTTTCCCTTCCGTGTGGGAGTAAGGGAAAGAATGATGGAATAGGGAGTGATGTCTGAGGGCAGAAAAAAGGAACATGACTCTCTCTAAAGGCTTGTTCCAGCCAAGGAAGTGGAATGATGTCTACCAGTGTCAAAATTATCAACTGCTGAGGATTAGTGAAGGGCGGGGAGGGGAGGCCTCGTGGCTGTGGGGTAATGAAAGAGAGGAGACGAGGGGAGAACGCATCAAAAAGCTCTATCACATCCAGCATACCACCATGCATCAAAAAGCTCTATTACATCCAGCATACCACCAATCTAGGATGGTTCACTTAGAATGGGTAAGGATGCTCTCAGATTTAGCGATAGCGGGCGCAACGTCCACGTGCGCCATCACGTCTGAACGCCGCCTACGGTGTGGCTGCGGTTCATAATAGCCGGTAGAGCTTGAAGTCCGAAGTCAAACAGTGCTAAAGTAGTTACTTGTGTAATGGTTCCACGGTTTCCACTGAATCTTATCTATGTAGATTCCCAGTCCATGATGGTAGTATGGGCGGAGTCGTTCAATCAGTACGCCTTAATTGTCTTTGCGCCACCGTCATTTGAACGGGGAAGGGGAGCGCCAGTAATGACGTCCCAGTGACTGATAGCGGACTGTGCCTTCAACTGGTTATTATAGTTGGGGTGATTCATCTTAAGAGATGATTTACTTTTTCTTGTTACCATCGAAGGTTAAAGTAAGACTTGGGTTTTCCCAGAACTTTTGTCGGTTTAGCGCGTCGAAAACGCGGTTATCGCGATGGTTTATCACGAACGGTCGCAGTTTATGGTCTTTGGGTCTTTAATTCGTCTGGCCGCTTTTGCTGACGTCACTGTCACTAGCAAGTTTAAATAATTTATCAGGGCGAGCAGTTACGGTTGGATAAGTGGGGTAAACGTTTGATGTTGCCGCCTTGATGAGATCATTACTGCTTTCAACGAACAGACATGTTGCGGTTAACAGGTGTTTAACCTAGAGTCTGACTGAGGGGTCTGACCTTTTGAGTGGAGTTCTGGAAATGAGTTTGAATTGAAAATGTATGGGATTCGTGTAGGAATATTGTCATTCAGTGGAATTCTGTGATGAGATGTGAGCCAAAAAGTAAAGCCAACCAAAAGCTAAAAAGGGGTACTTCCATGCAGATCACTATTCGTATTGGTTGATTTTCTGAAGTTAGCGCTCAGTAATATCGCCCAGTTATAGACTTTTTGGGCGAACCTAAGCTTGTCAGTTATTTCCGTAAAAATTCAATTCTGAATTGGGCCCGATTCCGATCCTGGTCCATATAAATGGGGTGCAGCGTCTTTGGAGAATCCAATCAGGGAAGTCGCACTTGGTCACTAGCGGGAGGATCGTACTTGTTCTTGAGGAATTGTAGATGACCCGTGAAGACGCCCCCACCGCCAATTTCTTGATCATTGGGAAAAATGGATTTTCCACGGGAAATCGTGAAAAAGTGGTTCAAAATTTTCGGAAGATCGTTGAGATGTGGGGAAGGGGGTCATACCAGATGAGGAAATTCCTGGGAGGTAGCGACACAGCCATTTCACACATCACGATGCTCCACCCTGGGAGAATCTCATCAGGAGGGTCGTACTTGGTCGCTAGGGAGGAGGGTCGTGTTGCCTTTGACGTAAAAGTACTTGATCTGAAACGATCCCTCTCCCTCGGCTCGACGATAGTCTTTTTCTTTTGAAAAGAAGTGGATTTTTTTTCGAAGAGTGGCTAAAGTTGTAGAAAGCTGGGAAAAGTTACGAGATCGCTGGTAGGATAGGGAAGATGGTCACTCCAGCCGATGAAATTTAAAATTCAAGGAGGGGAGGGTGTCGTACTGAGCTGCGTTTTCACGCACATCACGATGCGTACCTTGGCCCCAACTTCTGCCTAGAAAATGAATCACTTGTGTAATGTAATTTCAATTGGAAATACTTCAAAGTGGATCATGGTACGCTTGAAGATGGTTTGTTTGAAGCAGCGATCAATGATTAGTCATTCGTGGGGCGCAACCTTTATGGTCAATAGTAAGGCGTAGTGGCTTCGAACAAAGATTTTCTTATGACAGGCCCGATCAAGTTTGTCTGGGCGGATAAGAAACACTGCCGCTGGGATGCTTCCGGACACTGACCCACCCTACAGCCGTGACCACCGGCGGCAAGAAGCTGCTCGGTTAAACCTTTGAGATCTACCCCTACTCTTGACCTTTTTCCTCGCTGATCTCTGTGTCCAGCTTTCGTTGACTTGCACATTCGATCAAGGCCCTGGAAGTACTGGTTTTTTTGAGTGATTTTCCGAATAAGCCCGTAAATTTAGCCAGTCGATATTGCTCGCGGTCACACGTCAATGCCAGCTCCAATGCAAACAGCTTATCCGATTCCGATGCAATACCAATACCAGCTAGCTCCACAAGGATATCCTACTAGTGGTGTAAGTTTTACCAGTCTTACTTTTGTCGTGAGTAAGCTTTTACCTAATGGGGTACATTTCTTTACTACAACGTCATAGGTATAAACTGTGAGGAGATGATATCGAACCTGGGCTCAAATAAAATCGCAGTCAACGGTTACTTTATGGGCGGAGACGGTCAGTAGTTGTGCCTTCCTCACTGGCTTTCTTGTTCACTCCTTCCAGATCGTTGAGAAGAGGCGTGTCGGTGGGAGAGGGGGAGAGGTACTGCGAGAGACTGTGCCCGCCCATGCGATCAGCGTGAATTTGACATGTAACACTGTAAGCAAGTCTTTGGTTAGGATCGATAAATTCCTTATTTCGGTCATTTTCAATCGGTCGTAGTTAAGTGCCATTGTGAATATCTGTTGTTGACAGGAAGCCCGATTTTGACGTTTGCTGCTGTTAGATTCTTACCATATCCTGTAGATGGGGATCTCGTTGCTGCTCATTTTGTTTCAGTGAGGCGGCGGCTACTCTTTCCGAGGGGGACTCCCGTTTCGGGGCAGTAGTAATGGTCTTCGTCCAGGAAAAGCCAGTATGACAATTGCCTCGAATG